ATTCAATGCCACAATGACTGTAACATTCAAAGTCAGAGTCGTGCAAATCTTGGGTTGGACCCCCATGATGATCCCAAGCATCACCTGCATTCCATGCGGTAGCTATTGGTGCGTTTGGGCGTCACATGTAACTGGAAATGTTTCTTCTGTTAGGTTCTATAGTGACTTTTTTCGTAGTCATTTGCATATTTTAGTATTATGCCCCCAAAATCAAATATCCCCTACTTTTTTTGAATAGTATATATCACTACATAGCCCTGTGGCTATTTGGTAAGCCAATCCGGTTATTAAAACTATCCCGACAATAATCTCCATACCGGACGTATTCAAAAAATGAAGAAAAAAGGTTTAAAAAAATAGCGGCCTTGCGAAAATCTTGATTTCTCCATCAGATGTTATCGGACCAAAAGAACTAAAGTATCGTTGGATAGCCCCATTAATGGACTATCATATGACATCTGAATGATGCGATTTAGATGGTACGCCGAAAATCTAGTATTTTCCGTTTTGGTGCATTTTAAGACGCCATTTTCTCGAAAACGAAAACTACGATTTTTCTTAAACTTCTTTTACTCAGAGTCCTATCGGTGGACTATGGCGTGAGTCCAAAAATAAAAGCATTGAAATAATATAAGTGGTCCAAAAAGAACCTCAATCTTTTATTTTTCTTTCTATGGAAAACAGCTGAATGGATTTTTCTGAAACTTCTTGTAGAGAAGGTTAGGTAACCGAACAACTTGTTAAAATTATCCCGACAATGATCCAAAAACCGGAAGTAGTCGAAAAAATATCCGATATTTTGAGAAAAAAAACATAAACAGTAAAAAAAAAATGGTGATCTTGCGAAAAAAGTGTTTACTACGTAAGATTTCAAAACAACTAAAGTGTCATTGGATAGCCCGAACAATGGACGATCGTATGACATCTAAATGGTAAAAATGCGCTGGTTAGGCAATATATAATGGGAAGCTGAAAATATAGTATTTTCATTTTTGGGGGCTATTCAGATGCTTTCATCCCGAAAACTTCTCTTTTTTCCTTTCTTAAACTTCTGTTACTTAGAGTCCTAACGGTGGTCTAGGGTGTGAATCCAAATTTAAAAGCCTCAATATATACTGAGCGCCATGGAAAACGCATCACTTAGTTTTTCGAATAACAAAATGATCCTGTAAACATATCTTATTTTTTTTGCTTCTTATTGTGAACAATATGCAAATGGGAACACATCAATAATAACAAATTTGTACACTTATGGATGTTTAATCTGTAATCAACGGTACAAAGTCAGAGGGGTCAAAACCAAAAGTACGACACAGATGTCAGTAGCGCGTGTGTCCAAGGGCTCTTTCGCACGCTGTGCAGCGACGTCGCATGGAATTTACCAATGTTTGAAAGAAGGCCTGGGGCAAATTGTTCCATTCTTGGACAAGAGCAGCTTCTAAAGCAGCAATGGTGTGCATCTGTGGTCTCCGATACAGACGGCGTCCAATCTCATCCCAGACATGTTCTATCGGTGTCATGTCCGGAGACATGACTGGCCAGTCCAAGACATTGATGTTGTTAGCAGCCAGGTAGTCCATACTAAAACGGGCGGTATGACCCCCGAGCGAAGCCGGTCTGTTTGGGGTTGGCGGCTACACTAGGTCTGCCCCGAGTCTGAAATTTGGGGTACAGGGGAAGCTCGGACCGGGGAATAACATAGGCCAGGTGGCGTTAGTCTACCAGTTCCGGTTTCGGAGTTATGACCCCCGAGCGAAGTCTGTTCGGGGTTGGCGGCTACACTAGGTCTGCCCCGAGTCTGAAATTTGGGGTATAGGGGTAGCTCGGACCGGGGAGTAACATAGGCCAGGTGACGTTAGTCTACCACTTCCGGTTTCGGAGTTATGACCCCCGAGCGAAGCCGGTCTGTTCGGGGGTGGGGGCTACACAAAGTCTGCCCCGACTCTGAAATTTGGGGTATAGGAGTAGCTCGGACAGGGGAGTAACATAGGCCAGGTGGCGTTAGTCTACCACTTCCGGTTTCGGAGTTATGACCCCCGAGCGAAGTCTGTCTGTTCGGGGTTGGCGGCTACACTAGGTCTGCCCCGAGTCTGAAAGTTTGGGTATAGGGGTAGCTCGGACCGGGGAGTAACATAGGCTAGGTGGCGTTAGTCTACTACTTCCGGTTTCGGAGTTATGACCCCCCGAGCGAAGCCGGTCTGTTCGGGGTTGGCGGCTACACTAGGTCTGCCCCGAGTCTGAAATTTGGGGTATAGGGGTAGCTCGGACAAGGTAGTAACATAGGCCAGGTGGCGTTAGTCTACCACTTCCGGTTTCAGAGTTATGACCACCGAGCGAAGCCGGGTATCCTGCTAGTATAATATAAACATGAGAGACAGCAATGGAGGTTTTAATTGATAACGAACAGTCTGTGATCTTCCTTTACAGTTCATACTTTCATTGACAAAAAATTCTTTTCCACTGTCAAATATAAATGATTGACCTTCAATTAAATATCTACGTAATATCTATATATATATTTGTGACTGTCGTTTGTCTGTCTGTCTGTCTGTCTGTCTGTCTGTTCGGGGTTGGCGGTTACACTAGGTCTGCCCCGAGTCTGAAATTTGGGGTATAGGGGTAGCTCGGACCGGGGAGTAACATGGGCCAGGTGGCGTTAGTCTACCACTTCCGGTTTCGGAGTTATGACCCCCGAGCGAAGCCGGTCTGTTCGGGGTTGGCGGCTACACTAGGTCTGCCCCGAGTCTGAAATTTGGGGTATAGGGGTAGCTCCGACCGGGGAGTAACATAGACCAGGTGGCGTTAGTCTACCACTTCCGGTTTCGGAGTTATGACCGCCGAGCGAAGTCTGTCTGTTCGGGGTTGGCGGCTACATCTGCCCCGAGTCTGAAATTTGGGGTATAGGGGTAGCTCGGACCGGGGAGTAACATAGGCCAGGTGGCGTTAGTCTACCACTTCTGGTTTCGGAGTTATGACCCCCGAGCGAAGCCGGTCTGTTCGGGGTTGGCCGCTACACAAGGTCTGCCCCGACTCTGAAATTTGGGGTATAGGAATAGCTCGGACCGGGGAGTAACATAGGCCAGGTGGCGTTAGTCTACCACTTCCGGTTTCGGAGTTATGACCCCCGAGCGAAGCCGGTCTGTTCGGGGTTGGCCGCTACACAAGGTCTGCCCCGACTCTGAAATTTGGGGTATAGGAATAGCTCGGACCGGGGAGTAACATAGGCCAGGTGGCGTTAGTCTATCACTTCCGGTTTCGGAGTTATGACCCCCGAGCGAAGTCTGTCTGTTCGGGGTTGGCGGCTACACTAGGTCTGCCCCGAGTCTGAAATTTGGGGTATAGGGGTAGCTCCGACCGGGGAGTAACATAGGCCAGGTGGCGTTAGTCTAACACTTCCGGTTTCGGAGTTATGACCCCCGAGCGAAGTCTGTTCGGGGTTGGCGGCTACATCTGCCCCGAGTCTGAAATTTGGGGTATAGGGGTAGCTCGGACCGGGGAGTAACATAGGCCAGGTGGCGTTAGTCTACCACTTCCGGTTTCGGAGTTATGAACCCCGAGCGAAGCCGGGTATCCTGCTAGTACTTATTATTTTACAAAGTTTTGGAATTAATAAAAAGGCAAAATAATAAGATGTAGATTTAGCTGAGTATTTTGTTTTTAAATTAAATTTAAATAATTTTAACCAATTGGAGAATAATGTGCAGCTAAGCAGAATATCAGTGGTATTTGGAATATTATTTCTTTGTGAGAACAATAACATTATAATGAATATCAGATTGGTGTCATGAAAGGGGTGGATTTGTACATAAATTAGGGCCTTTTTGGGAAAATACAAAGATGCTGGTTGAAGCCTAAAGGAACTCTTTAAAAACCTTTATCAAAGTCTTGTGCAAATTCGAACTACCTGAACTCGGTGGTTCTTTCTTGGCATTGAGTTTGATTTGATTATAAACCAATCTGTAAAGTCGTAGCCTATGAAATCTGAGAACTGCCTTTAATTTAGGCATAACTTATAACAAAAACTGAATTTTTATTAATACAGGTGTAAAAATTATTTGTGGACACTGAAATTGCCTGACTGAAGAAACATTATATTATGTTCAAACATACTAATAATTAATATGTATTTTTTTTTTCCAGCCCACCAATATAGAAGCCTCTGTATTTACTTTTATGAAGAACTTTCATTTGATGACCACAGGGATTTTTAAACCGATAAATTTCTAACATGGAAGGACAATGTAACTATAATGCTTAAATAACCACCGTCACTGAGCGATTGATTCATCCATAAATCCTAATTTTAAAAAAGTTGTTTACATTGAACAATAACCAGGCTTGTTATGTGAGTGCCTGAATGACTTTGAAATGCATATTTCTTGTAAAGAAATCTTGTAAAGGATTGGAATACATTTAACTCTCAACTGTACATTAGCCACTTTTAGTTACACATTTCTTTGTTTTGAAATAATTTCAATAAATATATTAAATGAAATCATTGGATTATTGTGAAATATTTCTATCTAACTGAATATTAGGGGAATGTACTAGGTATAGAGACTATCTACGGTACTCATGAAATTATGAATTTTCCTCACTCAATGAAATGAACCTGTATTCAGTAAACTGCAAATATTATCGATTTTGAATTGAATTTGACTCCCCCCCACCCCCCTTTATGATGGCATAAAACCATTTATTGTAACTTTTATACAGGTATCCTGTGAAATCTCAGAATTTTCCTTTAATTTAAATTGCCTTTAAATGTAGGTAACACTTGCATGTAGTACATGAGCAAATTTTCGAGGTCACAAAAAGTTTAGCTTTACACAGTTTGAACTATAAGTATAAGGATAGATCAGGATAGTGATGTCTTTGGATCACGTGGCTAAGTGGGTAAGACGCTGGCTCGCTAGCCTGGAGGTCGGGTGTTCGATCCCTGCATTGGCCGAGAAAGTTCATCGAGATTTTCTGGTGTGGTTCCCCCTTGTCAGTGATGCAGGACGGAGGGCCTGACAAGGACAGCTGTCTAGTCCTTCAGATGATACGAAAAACCGAGGTCCCGTGTATACATTAGAATGCATGTAAAAGATCCCTTGGCAGTTGGAATTCGATATAAGAGTAAGCGATAGTGCCGCTGCCCGGGCAAAATTTCCCTCATAGCACATTATATGGCGTATGCCAGTCTTCATTAGCCCAGCATAGGAGCAGAATAGTAGGACGTTAAACCCCATTTCATTTCATTTCTTTGGATTTTGTGGGTCTATTTTATTGCAAAAGTAAATCCACAACTATTCACATTTCAAATTTATTATTTCCATTAAAAAACAAAATTAATTATTCCGTTCTGATTCGCACATTGACAAATGTTCTTGGTAGTCTATGAGAAATGAACTTGGTGCCAATCCAAACTTAAGTCTTGATATCTAATTCACTCTCTATTTTAAAATAGTCTTCTTTTCAAACATCAGTTGTCTTGTAACTTCTATAATATTTACAATGCTACCTGAAATGTAGAAAATTCAAATGAAATTAAATTAGGAATATTTGATGGAACAGCAGCTCCACAGCCTACGCTTATTTCAAATGCCAAATGACATTGGTTCTTTTACGTGCATGCCAACAGACCCTTGATTTTTCATCCCATCAGAATGACTAGACACTGTTCCTAGCCGGATGCGTGGTCCTGCACCACTGACAAAAGGTGAAGCCAGGAAATTTTCTCGATAATACCGGAATCAAACTCCAAATTTCCTTGTTAGTGAGCGAAATGAAATGAGGGTTAACGTCCTACTGTTCTGCTCCAAACTGGGCTAATGAAGACGGGCATACGCCATACAGTGTGCCAATGCAGGGATCGAACACCCAACCTCCAGGCTAGCGAGCCAGCGTCTTGCCCACTTAGCCACCGTGACCCCTGTTAGTGGGCAAAATTTTACTCACTGTAAATGTAAATTAGTGTAAAACATGAAATTTTGCATCAATTGTTGATTGGGAACCACAGCAGTGGAAATGAATGTTTTCTGAATTAAATGAACAACCATAGGCAATCATGTTAGAGAAATGAAATTTGGTTTAACATCCTACTCTGACTGGGCTAATGAAGACAGACTTACACCATACAGTGTGCTATGAGGGAAATTTTGCTATGGCTTACTCATATATCGAATTCTAACTGCCAAAGGAATCATTTACGTACATGCCAATGAGTAGACTGGACCTGAGTTTTTCGTCCCATCCAAACGACTAAGACAGCTGTCCTTGTTAGGCCCTCCATCCTGCACAACTGACAAGGGGAAATCACATCGGAAAATGTCGAACTTTCGCAGCCAACACCGAGATCCAAACCTGTTACCTCCCGGCTAGCAAGCCAGCATCTTACTCACTTAGCCACAGTGGTTCCCCAATCATGTTAAATAATTACATGATGGCACTGTTATACAGGGAAAGGAATCATGTTAAAGGTATTCCTTTCCCAATGTAACAGTGCCATCATGCAATTACTGCTAAGGTCGGTGGATGTTGCTATGTATGCCTAACTCGTGTGAGGATCACGTGGCTAAGTGGGTAAGGCGCTGGCTCGCTAGCCTGGAAGTCGGGTGCTCGATCCCTGCATTGGCCGAGAAAGTTCATCAAGATTTTCTGGCGTGGTTCCCCCTTGTCAGTGATGCAGGACGGAGGGGCTGACAAGGAAAGCTGTCTAGTCGTTCGGATGGGACAAAAAGCCGAGGTCTCGTGTACACATTGGTGTACACGTAAAAGATCCCTTGGCAGTTGGATTTCGATATAAGAGTAGGCCGTAGTGCTGCTGCCCGGGCAAAATTTCCCTCATAGCACACTGTATGGCGTATGCCCGTCTTCATTAGCCCAGTTCGGAGAAAAACAGTAGGACGTTAAACCCCATTTCATTTCATAACTTGTGTTAGAATTCCGTCACAATTAGAACTGTATATGCCAACCTTTAACAGAACACCAAGTTCTTTCTAATTCTGGTATAACCTGTCACAAACGTTTTTCCCTTTTCGTTCACCTGAGGAAAAAAATGTAATAAATTACTAATTAGACAAATGTGTTGCCATATAATTAAAGATCTTGCATATCGTGTGTCCTTATTTACTTTTTTTGATAGTTGATCACTGTTTTTTTTTTCATAAACTGCTGTGAGATATCCTGCCTGCATATTGTGACAGGTTTTTTTTGAGAGCTGATCACCTTTTTTTTAGAAATATATAGGCCTATGTCCCAAGGCCTAGTATTATTTTTAATTTAGTTTACAAATCTTCATAAAATGCTGTGAGAATTCTGCCTGTATATTGTGACAGTGTTTTTTGACAGCTGATCACGGTTTTTAGAAATAGGTACATGTAGGCCTATATCATGAGGCCTAGTAGGCCTATATTATTTTAACTTTACAAATCCTCACAAAATGCAGGGAGATATAATACAGGGCTTGCCACGAGACGCGAGTAATTACTCGCGCGCACGCTACGCTCGCGTAAAACCAAATTTACGTGAGTGATTAAGTACTCGCGCAAATATAAAAAATAATTTAATCAGAAATAATTGAATATCGTAATATAAAAAGCCATAAACAATTTGTATGCCTTCATATCGATGCACTATTGCGCACGCGGCGTGTCTTTCCAGTGCCAACTGTTGTTACTAAAAATACTTTGAGACGCGTACGGCCAGGCGGTTTTTAAGCGGATGTCCTTTGCCGTGTCTGGATAATCAAACATTGAGCGGATGTTGTCGTTTCTATTAATAGCAATTCTTTCGATCCCGCATCTTTTCTGCAAATTGATGGGATTGAAATTGTTTTGCCTGTTCTTTTACCTTTCTAAGCTTTACCCGAATCCCCTCAGCACGCCAACGATGGCAAAGGGAAGCCCAGTTTCTCTTGCAACGTTCTTGTCATAGGAAGACGATTTACAGATAATATTACTGCCAAGGAAATAAAAGAGTATGCATTGTCATTGTGTGTGAAATAGCTTTATTCAACGTCCGCTTCCACCGAAGTGACAAGAGCATTGCCATTAGGCACATGAAATGTAAATGGCTACTCACGCACATCATTCTGCGTGAGTAAATACATGTACTCGCCTCACTCGCGCAAGTCTATATTTGCGTGAGTAGTCATCTACTCGCCTCCAATTTGCTCGTGGCAAGCCCTGCCCGCTTTTTTGAGAACTGATCATTTTTTTAAAAAAAGGCAGGCCCTATAGATCATGAGACCTAGTAATATTTAATTGTTAAACTTTACAAATCTTCACAAAATGAAAAATCTTCATGAGGCCTAGTATTATTTTTTTTTTTACAAATCTTCGGAAAATGCTGTGAGATCGGTCTGTCAAGTAAAACCATCAAATGCAAAAAGGTACTAAATTATACTGAATCTAGACTAAGTAAAATTAAATATTTTAATTTTAATATTCGTCCATATTCTTTATTTGACAAATTACCTACTTCTTGAATCAGAACACAGTCCACGTGTGCTACGGCCGTTTTTCGCCCATCCTCTCTGCCCTAAAAACTTGAACATTTCCTCACCATCATATTATAATCCACCAATCTGCTGAAATAAAACACATCTAATTAAGTAAAGTTTTAACTTGTCGAAAAATTCAAGGGAGATCGTAATACGTGAGCGTATGTACTTGAGTTTTTATTTTTTATTTTAAAACACAAGTAGGCCTACTAATAACATATTTTCCAAATTGGCATTACCGGTACTTTTAATTATAACCCATGGGAATAATTCTTTTAACTTTATATTACAATCAAGAAATTAAAATTTAAATTTCACGAAGCACTAAATGTGCAGGCGGAGGAATAATGTACTGGTAATGGGGTTTGTTTGAAAACAAATCTAACTCAGACCGCTACCTATCGAAAAAGGCTAAAACTGTAAAACCAAGGCTTGGGCCGTAGGGCCTACTATTAAAATGAAATATTTTATTAAGATATATGTTTAAATAATTGATTTACATACCTTGATAAACAAACTAAAATATCTGTTATTTTTCTTTTGTAAAACAAAAGTAATTGGTGCCGCAAACACATCATTGATAATGCCTTGCGAAGCATCGTATTATCCGCAATGCGCGGTGCATGTCACCGGAAGTAGATTACCGAAGAAATCGTCGCGAGACTTATCGGCCCTATTGGGAAACCATGTGGTGGCTACTTGATAAAACAATTTCGAAACTTCTGCGCATACCGGAAGTAACCGAATTTTGTACTAGTTTCGTCAATTCTTTACCTATTTTCAGAATGACATTTTCGGAAAACCCGAATCTTTTCCGAGATAATGGCTATCTCACATTTTTCAATTTCGAACATGCATCTATGGCTTTTTTCGTTCGAATTTTGAAAATACATTGTTTGCGAGACAATTTTTGTTATTTTTAAAAATTTTCAAATTTGACCTACATTTTTGGATACCTGAAGACAATCCGATTCCAGAAATATAATTTTCATTCCGAGTTGTCGACCTTTATTTTTCGATTTCTTTCGAATTTTCTGCCCATTTCCCAACCCTTATATTTTTTTGAAAGGATAAATCGATATTTCTGAAAGTCCTGGAACATAAAGCTATATAGTCAGACCGCTGCATAAAACAATTTCAACAACGATCCGGAAACCGGAAGTGGTCGAAATATATGATAGATATTTCGAAAAAAAAGCAAAAAATGGGTGTTATGGGGAAAAAACTTGATTTCTCCGTCCAATATCAATGGATTAAACGAATTAAGCTTTGGTTGAGTGGCCCGAGGAATGGACTGTCGTATGATGCCCAATTTATACGGATACTATGACCAAGCAGCAAAATATGACAAGCTGAAAATCAAGTATTTTCTGATTTGGGGCGTTTTTGGACGCCTGTATCTCGAAATCTTAACCGCAACTTTTTTTTTTAACTTTCTCTATCGAGAGTCCATTCGATAGTCTTGTGAATTATGCCATCCAATAAGACTTTGAAATGTCTGGAATACGATAAAAAAGGGACTGAAAATCGAAAAAAGTCGAAAAATCGTGAAATTTTGCCAAATGCTCAATTACTTTATCATTTAAACAAATTTTTACAAAAAGATTACAGATTCGGATAGCTGACCTTATTACGATTCTAACGATGTATAATATGTATTGAGTTATTGAAATTTAATTTTCGATATTTTGACATTTTTGCATTTTTGGCACCTTTTAACATAGGATTTCTCAGGGTCATTTTATCTGATCAGATAATGTAATATATCATTACAGAGCCCTGCCGCTATTTAATTGCCCAAACTGGTTATTAAAACTATTCCAACAATAATCTCCATACAGGAAGTATTCAAAAAATGAAAAAAAAAAAGGTTAAAAAATTGTCGCTCTTGCGAAAAGCTGGATTTTTCGGTCAGATATTACCGGATCAAAAGAAGTAAAGTGTCTTTGGATAGCCCCATTAATGGACTATTATATGGCATCTCAATGGTACGATTTCGAAGGTTAAAAAATAAATTGTGGTACGCCGAAAATCTAGTATTTTCCGTTTTTGGAGCCTTTTTAGACATCTTTTTCTCGAAAACGACAACTCCGATTTTTCTGAAACTTTTTTTCACGCAGAGTCCTATCGGTAGTCTGTGACGTGAATCCAAAAGGAAAGGTTTGAAATAATATAAGGGGTCCAAAAATTGCCTCAATCTTTGAAAAAAGTTGAAAAATCGTTAAATTATTGAAAATGTTCTTTTATTTATCTTTTTTACAAAAAAAATACTGAATAGATGTTTCTGAGACTTCTGTGACAGAAAGTTAAGTATCTAAACAAATTGTTAAAACTATCTCGACAATGGTCCAAAAACCGGAGGTAGTCGAAAAATATGCGATATTTTTGAAAAAAAACACGTAAAATCTAGTACCCAGTTAACATTGATGGTTAGATTTACGTAAAGTTTACGTCATTATGGTTAGATTTTGGTTAGCGTCCAATAATGGTAAAATTCTTTGGTTAAATTTACGTTACTTTTACGTCATAATGGTTATGGTTACTTTTACGTCAGAAAATGACGTAAATGTAACGTAAACTTTATGACGGATTACTAACCAATTTTTTTCCCTTTGAATACTTCTTGATTAAATAACATTACAAGTGTGTGCACATTCTAACAATTGATATATAGTCGGAATTCAGACATAATAATTATATATGTATTATTGGTTATAATTCTAACGTTAATCTAACGTAAATTTTACATCAGGTTTATGGTTAGTTTTCTGACGTAAATCTAACGTTAGTTTTCTGACGTAAATCTAACGTTAGTTTTCTGACGTAAATCTAACGTTAGTTTTCTGACGTAAATCTAACGTTAGTTTTCTAACGTTAATATAATGTTAGTTTTCTAACGTTAATGTAATGTTAGTTTTATGTCCTAATTTTAACCGTTAATTTAACGTTAGTTTTTTAAAGTAAATCTAATGTTAATTTTCTAACATAAATCTAACTTTAGTTTTCTAACATAAACCTAACTTTAGTTTTCTAACATAAACCTGATATTAGTTGTAAAACGTAAAACAAATGTCGGTTTAATGTCATGATACTAACAATTAAGGGCCTGACAAGACAGCTGTCTAGTCATTAAAATGGGTAAGACCCTGACTCGCTAGCCTGGAGGTTGGGTGTTCGATCCCTGCATTGGCTGAGAAAGTTCATCCAGATTTTCCTGCGTGTTTTCCCCTTGTCAGTGATACAGGACGGAGGTCACGTGTACACACAGGAGTGCACATCAAGATCGCTTGGTAGTTGGAACTTGATATAAGAGTAGGCCATAGCGCCGCTGCCTGGGTAAAATTTCCTTCATAGCATACTGTATGGCGTATGCTCGTCTTCATTAGCTCAGTTTAGGAGCAGAACAGTAGGACGTTAAACACGATTTCATTTCATTTTTCTCGACCAACACGAAAATTGAACCCCACATTTGCTAGCCAGTGTGTTACTAATTACTAGAGAGAGAGAGAGAGAGAGAGAGAGAGAGAGAGAAATGGGGTTTAACGTCTACTCGACACAAACTAGGTCATTTCGGGACTAACATATGGTTTAATTTTTATTTACATAATTCGCTTGCGCGTAGGGGTCTTTAGCAGTGGGAGAAAACCGGAGGCTGGACAGGCGACCCTACTCCTTGTCACGTACAACCGGGGATTCGAAACCACGCTAGTCAACTCAATGACAGACTTTATGATACAGCGCCCGCACGCTAACCATTCAGCCATCCAACCCCCCCCCCCCCCCCCCGTTACTAATTACTAAGTTTGTGAAATGTAGGTTTTTCCTCATGCAGGTTTGTCCTGATGAAATCGGTTTATTGTCCTACTGTTCTGCTCCGACTGGGCTAATGAAGACAGGTACATACCGTACAATGTAATGTACTATGAGGGAAATTTTGCCCCAGCAGCGGCACTATGGCCTACTAATATCGAATCCAACTGCCAAAGGATCTTTTCGTGCAAGCCAATGTATACATGGTACCTCGGTTTTTTGTCCCATCTGAGTGACTAGACTACTGTTCTTGTTCCTGCACTTCTGACAAGGGGAAACCATGTCGGAAAATCCTGATGAACTTTCTCCACCAATGCAGGGATCGAACACGTGCCCTCCGGATTACCGAGCCAGCATCTTACGCACTTATCCACCGTGGCTTTATCAAAATTAGTAATGAAGATGTGCTATGACAGAAATTTTGCCTGGACAGCAGCATTACCGCACTTACTAATGAAGATGTGCTAGGAAAGACATTTTGCCTGGAGAGCAGCATTTCCGCATATAGTCATTACCAATAGTTCTAAGTGCACGCCAAACTGTAAAACAGGTCTTTACACACTTTTCCATCATTACCAATTACTAGTCTGCGGGTTCACTAGTCCGTGGGTGCACTAATCCGTGCATTCACTAGTCCACTAGTCTGACTCTATAAAATACTATAAATATGAGTATTAAAGAAACCCAGTAGATATGGTGACTGATATCACCCTTCGTAAGGCGATAACCCAACATCACGGCATTTTAACCCAAAATCACAACATTTTAAGCATTATAGCATATGCCCTTCTTCATTAGCCCACTTGGAACAAAATAGTAGGATGTTCAAACCCCATTTAATATTCATTTTCATACTTTTCTGCACCAATCGGACTATTGAAGATAGTCATACGCAATGCAGAGTGCTATGACGGAAATTTTCTATGGACTGTGGCAGGGCGGAGGATCTGGCAAGGGATAAGGTATAGTTGTTCGGGTCATACGAAAAATCAAGTCCTCGTGTACATATTGGCATGCACGTCAAAGACACTCCGACAGTTGTAATTCAATATCAGAGTAGGCCATAGTGCCGCTATCCGTGCAAAGTTTCCGTCGTAGTACACTGTATATAGTGTATGCCTGTCTTCATTAGCTCACTCAGAGCAAAACAGTAGGATGTTTAATCTCATTTAATTTTATTTAATTTTCCTACTTTTCTGCACCAATGGGACTATAAAAGATAGGCTGGCAAGCGGACGAGTGCACCCGTTGACTATTGAGCATCATTTACTTGAAAACGTTGAGAGAACCCTCAACGAAATGTCGCTTTAATTAAAATAGGAATTGTGTTTTTTGTTGTATCATCGAGTCAAGTTAACGTTAAACCCCATTTCTCTCTCTCAATTTTGATACCCAAAAATTTGACAAAACAAATAATGATTGATTGTCGGAAACTGTTTCATAAAGCAAAGTTGTTCTCTACTAAAAGGTTATCACTGTCCAAATATTCGGAGTAGTCCACACCTAGGCCGACTATGCATGAAGTGTTTTTATAATTAAATTTATTAAATATAGTACCTTGCACCAGTAAATATAAAATTAATGATCCTTTCACCAGTAAATATAAAATTCATAGGCCGACAATGCATTAAATGTTTTTATAATTAAAGTTATTAAATGTAGTACCTTGCACCAGTAAATATAAACTTAATGATCCTTGGACCAGTAAATATAATATTCATGATCATTATTTATATAAGGCCTTCATCAACCTTGCACCAGTAAATATAAAATTAATGATCCTTGCACCAGTAAATATAAAATTCATGATCATTATTTATATAAGGCCTTCATGTATGTTTGTACAAGTGTACATTCTTGGAATTGTATTACCATTAACACTATGGAGATCAATTATAATAACCGTTGGCCTTGTTCATGAATCCTTAAATTTTTGAAAATTTAGTTCTTAATATGAAACTATCTAAATAAAATATTGCTTAAATCAATGTGTGTTGTTAATGTCATTCAAAATGGCGGCTGTCTACATATACAATATATAAAATAGGTCATGAGTCGATTCTTGCCGTTTTTTTATTTCGAATTTAAAAGTTCAACACTTAATTACAAAAGTTGTAAAACCATATAAAAATAAAGGTTGGACCAAGACTAGTTCCATTTTTTTAAGTTATGAATCTGAAAAATAGATAATATTGACCCAGTCAATTAACATAGAGATCTACTCTAGCTATATGAGTCCATATATTTATCGTCTCTCGATAATGGACCTATCTCTGAAAATTAAAATTCCCCGATTTGATTATTCTTTTAATATAACGTAATTATGTAACCTCATATAAAATATGGTAGAGCGTATACAAACAAATTATATGAATAGATTCATTATCAGAAATATTACAGGCCTTTCAAACGAACAGTCGCCATTTTTAGACCTACATAGATGTACAAATATATTTTTATCGTCTCGGGCAAGGTCAAGGTCACGATCTGTTCACGGTTGATGATTGTGTTTAAATCGGTTTATATCATATTATTTCTATTCACATTACAATATTTTTTTTATAGGTTACGGTTATTGTTGTTATTTATCTAAATTGCTTCAATTATTTATTAAATATTTTTTGTTTGTTCGTTTGACCGGAACGTACGGAATTCTGGGATTTAAAATGGCGGCATAGGTTATTATTTTTCCCAAAGAAGAAATGATGCCGTGATTTAAAGTTTAATAAAGCTATTCCACACATACACACACGATTTTGGATTCAGCAAAGTAAAGTTGAAGGTAAGTGCACTTTTTATGCGAACTTCCATTGACAGTATACCGATAGATCTAATGTTGATAAAAAAAATAATCTGGCCGTGGAAAAAGTTTGCACGCAACTTTGTATATCAGACAGTCAGTATTTGTTTTTAACACGATGCA